TCCTGACATCCACCCTACGTCCTTCCCTGTGGAAGAGATACGTAGATAACACTTTCGTCATCTGGCCACATGGCCAGCCAGTACTTTACCATTTTTTCAACCACATCAATTCCATACATGCATCCAATCAAATTCACCATGGAAGTGGAAAATTATGGCTCGTTGGGACATTCCGTCTACAGAAAAACCACCCACACGGATTTCTATCTAAAGCCTGACTCCCACCACCATCCGGCCCAGAAGAACTTCCTCATCAAAACACTACACCATAGGGCCTGCTGCATCTCCGACCAGTGCCACCTAGCCAGTGAAGTGGAGCACGTACACCAAGCCCTCAAGATGAATGGTTACTCAGACCGTACAATCCGCAAAGCTGTAGCCCCAACCATGGGGAGACAACCATCTGAGGACCCAATCAAAACCATCACCTTGCCAAACATAGCAGGGGTTACCAAAAAGATTTCCAAAATCTTAAAACAAACACAAGATCCAGGTTCGTTTCAACACAGTACACAAAATCCGTGATTTTACCTCATCTGTGAAGGATGTCATTCCTGACATGCAACACCCTGGTGTCTACAAACTAAGTTGTGTCTGCGGCAGCAGTTACATTGGGGAAACGAAACGACATGTCTCGGACCGCGTTCACGAATGCAAGGCAACGTAACTTCCTGTGGTGCTTCCATTCTTCCCTGTTATCTCCGACTCTCTCACGGACATGGCCACCTCTGCTCCCTTAGCCTCGATGTACTGATAGTTCTGGCTGTGTGATGGGCTGTGTGTCTCACTGGCGCGACCACCGTTGCGGTGGTTCTCTTGCGTGGACGCGATCGCCTCTCACAGCGCAGTTGGCAGCGCCGCAGCAGCCTGTGTTGCACATAGACATGACATAAAATTGCTAATCCCCCTAATCTCTCTGCCTAATCTCCCATTAACACTGCTGTTGTGCGCATATGCGGGGACGATACTCTTATGCGGCGACGGAAGCTCATTTCATGCTAATCTCTCTCCCTAATCTCTCTTTCCATAATCTCCCCCATTAACACAACTGACGTGCTTGCGTCTGGGGATGGAATTCCTTTCCAGCTCAGACCCCGCTTGCTTGCCCATCGCCACAGAAATAACCTCTTGTTGTTGTAACTGCTCTCTCGCTGGTTCAGCAGTTCCACTGCTTGATTATTTTTTCCACCTGAGGACGACCGCTTGTGTTGCGATCGAAACGTCGTGATTTATCATTTTTTGTTTTATTTGTATACCTACGTGACTTTACCGAAAGAACCAAAGAGTATGCTGCTATACATTTCCACGTGATAAACCATTTTGTTCAGCTATCATTTGTGGTCAGGTCGCTTCTGAAAAAGGGTTATATAGCTCGGTGGGCCTTACCTGGTAAATAAAAAATAGTTATAGTTTAAAAAGTTTAGTTTTAACTGTCAGTTCATATCGACTGATTGTGCTGCGAGCATACATTGGGAGTGCAAGGTGGTGCATCTGCCAGTCAGTTAACCCATTACACCTTCAGCACTTCACGAGAGTGCACCTAGCCTGGCACGAGCTGTAGCAGAGGCCTACCACTGTGTGCAAGAATTAAAACAAGATTCACTATTTTGTTTTATAAAGACATAAATATATGTAGGGGGCATGGTAGCAAGTGAGGTTTTTTTTTTCTGCAGAAAATACAATTTTCCCCTATTTAATCCGCAGACTCGGTTATCACAGAGCTATCTCTGAGACCCCCTTCAGATGCTTTCTGGTCGACATAGTAGTGGGCAGCGCTTTTTCGCACGCCCCGCTACTGACAGTCACGTTCGCCGCATGGCAGTCAGACCTACACTTTTTTTGTGAAATTCCCAGCGCCGGAATCCAAGAGCAACTAAACTGCAGCGACGAATTTCATGTGCTGGGCTATTTTGTTGTTGCAGTCTTTGGTGACGGTGGGCCGAGTCCACCAATTCACTCCGCTTGAAAACCTGGCTAGGCCGAAACCTGAATCTGATCCCAGGGTGCCAGCTCCTGCACTCTTGGCCTCCCGGCCTCCTCCGCAAAGTTGACATTATTTCGCTAATCAGGTATAGGCCCCACAATTCTGGGCCGTTGGCTCTTTCATATTCCACCAGTGCTGGTCTAAATCGGGGCACACTCACTGCTGATGAGACTCGCTGAAGCCAAAAGCGCTCCAGTCATTTTGCCTCGCCTAAGAAACAGCTGCTGCTCTTTGGTTCTTCCGGTAAAGACACGTAGATGAAAAATAAAAATAATGAAAATAATAAAATGAAAATAACTAAATTAAATCACTGAAAAATAACAATGAAAATAGTTAGCAGTTATTTTCATTTTATTATTTTCATTATTATTTTTCATCCTTGCAGTCACGAAAACTTCAAATCTAGAATTAAACAGCTGTTGCTCGGGAAACAGTGATCTTCAAACACTGTTGCTGTGAGATGGATGCAATGTTGTTATTTCCTTTAGGCAATTCGTACAAACGCCATCATTTTCTTTGCTATGTTGGTTCTGCATTGCCCACAAGTCTGCCAAGCCAGCACATTTCGATAAAGTGAATCAACGGCGGCGGTCGTCATTTAAACCCAGCCGTGCGGCGGCATTGACTGACGCACAACGCTCACCGCAGCGGTAAAGTGCGGTCAAACAAGCCGCACGATCCGTACGGATTCGCAGGGGGCCGTAAAATGTAACCGGGGGTCAGGGGGTGGGACTTGCCCCCCCCCCTTCCCCTCCCCGTGTATGTTTTTTTTTTACCGCGACACGAACGGAATTTATCGGACGAGTGGCGACAATCGATGGGACAGCGCCGGCACAACCACGCAAGGTCACAAGAGAAGCAGCAGGACGCCGCCGCCACCACCGCTGTCATCGTCGTCGCGTGCAACAAACGGCTACGCGCGTCCGTCCGCTCGAGCGCTCCCAATCGGTAGCCGCCAAAACCGCACCGCTTGAAAAATGAGATCGCTGTGTCACTGTTTGAGTTGGGTGCTGCTGCTGCTGCTGTCACAGCGGGGGGGGGGGGGGGGGCGGTAAGCACATTGGAGTCCTAACTTAAGAGGTTGCCGGCTTGATGCCGCCCCTCCCGGCGCGGCAGCGCAAGCGATGCTGAGAGTTTCTGAAATCCCTCCAGTCTCCCTGCCCACCCGGCAGTGTGAAGCGCGTGCAGGACAGTCGATCGGCAAGTCCCGTGTCGTTGGGAGTAAAGTGCGGGGGATCACACCTCTTCCAAGACGTCTGGCCAGCGTAGGCCAAAAATACTCTCTGGAGGAGCTCCGTTGAGCTTCACCATCATCAATCATCATCAACCCACAGCTAGACGAAGGCTTCCCCAAGCCCTCGCCATCCCGCACGTTCCAATGAACAAACGATTATCCCGGCACATTCATCGGAACCCATCTCATTACTCCATCTCCATGGGGGCGCGTCCTCTGGGGTGCAGTCCCCTCCTTAGGCTGCCACTCAGTAGTTAATCTCCGCCACTGGTCATCACCCCTGCCAGCACCACGTCCTGTGCTCGTGCCCGCTAGCATTGGATAGCTTTACATTTATTACTCAAATTCACACAGAGGAGACCCCCCAAACTCGCTCCCGTTGACATTGATGTCCAGTGCCCGCCGTGACAACGATTTACTGTATAATTAGTCGCGCTCGGCGAGGCCAGGGCCCGCGTTGACCTCTGGGGAATTTCAGCTGACACAGCGTGGCTTTGCAACACCAGCCCCCTCCACTTCATAGTTGGCGACAGGGAGTGAAGGGGGGCGGCCGTTATTAAAGCTCACAGAGGTGACAGGAATTATCCCAGAGGAGGCCTGCTCCTCCTCCTCCTCGTGCTCTCCACCCCGCCCACTACCAGCGCCACCACCGCCACCGCCACCTCCAGCACCCCGAGGGCAGCACGCTTACACAGCACGCGCAACGCCACCCAGCTACCCACCAGCCATCCGTGCAGCCACCCAGGTAACCACTCGCCCACCCCCCCAACCCACCCAGCCACCCACCGAGCCACTCAAGCAGTCCCCCTAGCCACCAAGTCACTCACTCACCCACCCACCCTCCCCCACCACCAACCCAGCTACACACCACCCCAGTCACTCAGCCACTCTCCCAGCCACCCATCTAGCCACTCAGCCTCTCACTCACCCCCCCACCTACCCAGCCACGCAGCCCCCTCCCAGCAACTCACCCAGCCACCCACCCCCTCCCAGCCACCGACCCACCCGTGCAAATGCATTCCAAGTGCTTCCATAGCCAATCAATAAATAACAAGCAATTAATCAATAAACCAGGCATGCCAATGCTATTTTTTTTAGACGTGGCAAGGCTGAGGCTGCAAGGGTTCGTTGTGACGCTTTCCTTGTCAGGTTGAAAGAATTTTACAATGAGCTCTGTCTGTCCATCTGTCTGTAACAGGAGGCCCATGACCACTGGCAATGATGATCCAATATAAACACGTTCTTAGTTAAACGGTTGTGTTGCTATTAGGGATCTGACCGAAAGAAAATGAGCCAAATGAATCCAATGGTTGTCTAAAACCTCGACGATAAAAAAGGCACTGAGAGTATCTGGCCTTGAAGGGTAAGGCGGTGACATCTCGTTGCACAGTTCGGATCGTAACGTCGCGATGACAAGGGCATGTTGGAGAGCGCGGCAGTACCCAACGCACACGCGTCACTTTCATGTCCTCAAATTCTTTTTTTTTATATATATATCTCGTTTCTTTGCACACGACCACAGACGCACGACCACGCACACCACATCACGCACCACTGCAGAATCACCAGGACACACAATAAGGTGAAGATGGATGCGGCTGGGTGCCAAAACAAATCCCGCGACAGTTTTGCGGATCGACCGGCTGAAAAGTAAACCACCGGGTACGGTGCCCAGTGCCGCCACCACCACCACCACCACCACCGCCACCGCCCACGGTGAAAAAGGCGAAGCAGTCAAACAGCAGTGGGAGACGAGCGGGAGTGGGAGGGGAAGGGAGGTACCTGGGTTGGGCTGCAGGTACTCCTGTGTCTTGGTGACAATGTCCACCACTGCCTTCTGGGTCGTGTCAATTTTCTGCACGCGCGCGTCGCACCATCACACGCACGCCGAACGAATGCATTAGAAGGTCGCACTCGTTACACGCAAAGCGCTTGCCACAAGTGAACCACGCCACCTTGCCGATCTGGTTAAGGAGCATAGGCCATCGCGCACCTCCGATTAGCACGGTCGGCAAACATACAGTGCGAAAGAAGTCCAACAACAACAAACAACATACATACATACACTACAGCCAGCACCACGTGTCGCGCGAGATGGATCACGCGTGTCAACAGTTCCACGACCACTGGCTCGGGCGACGAAATCGAGGGGGAGGATCCGGGGCAGGAGGGGGGGGCGAGGCACGGGATGCAGTATCTCTTTAGTTTTTATGTTTTATCACGGTCGCTGAGCACAAGGGCCCGAAGGCCCAAAATATAGCAGGTGGCCAGCAACAAACGGCACCGTTGCAGATGCAAATAGATAGGCTCGCTAACACGTTGCTTGAGTGTAGCGAAGTTGTAATCAGTCGGAAAAAAGGAGCCATTCCAAAGTATGAGATGACGTCCAATCCTCGTTAGAATCCACGAGACCACAGTGGCAGTAACCCCACTTGGGATACAATCGGTGGTAACTGAATGACCCGCGCAGCCAAGCGCCACAAACCTTTTCCATCTCCAGGAAGTCATCGTCGAGCTTTGTCCCCTCCGCTCCGCCCACCTTCTCGCTAACAAACTGCGGGAAAACACACGGGGAGGAAGAGAGAGAGAGAGACACGCCGAGTGAGCCCAACGCCACCAGCAGCCAACAACAACACCCAGCGCCATTCACCACTAAGTGGCAGTGAAGTGACCATGGCGCCTGTGCCAGCCCAGGTGCAATTTAAGGCCACGTGAAGTGTCGAAGGCTCGCTCACAGGTAGGTAGCGAGACAGACCCAGAAGGTGCCATGAGTTGGCCGAGATGACCGGCAGATGCGCCAGCTGTGCCCCCTGCTGTGCCAACTTGCTGCATTTTAGCCACTCGTTTGTTTGCATGCCACCACCGGCGCCACCGCCACCGCCATCACACCCAGGGACAACGAGAGCAGCCGAACGCGTTCAGCAACGACGTGGTCCGTCCGGTCACAGTGCCGCCCGGCAGGAACGGGCGCGCAGCCGTGCTCCTCTCAGCGGTAATTCCACATTCCTATGTTGGGAGGCAGTCTCTCCGTGATACAATTAATGCCAACATACCACAACACGGGTCTCAATTTGGGACACCTAGGTGGCTAGGAAATGGTCAACGTGATGATGATGAAGATGCAACTTTTTATTCTCGGTCAAATTTATATTTCACGGATCGAGTCGGGTGCCACGGTGGCTATGAGATGTTAACTACCTCGCCTGGTATACAGGAGGTCGCGGGTTCGATCCCGACCCTGACGCCTGCTGTATATTTGGAGTCTGCGGTGTCTCTCTCCCCGTGGTCGCGTGGATTTTTCTCCGGGCCCTCAGGTTTTTCCCTCCACATTTAGAATTAACATTACCAGGTTCAGAGTATTTGGCTGCTATACATTTCCACTTGATGATAAGCCACTTCGTTGAGCAATCATTTGTGATAGCCAGGTCGCTTTTGAAAAAGAGCTACATAGCTAAGTGGGCCTTACCTGGAGAATTTTCCACAAATCTGGCTGTCACCTGATGATGCTGGTTGTAATTACTGACGAAATGTCGTACTCAGATTGTAAATGTTGCGGATGCACTCTCCAACACACCGTTGTGCTGTACTAGTAACGAATTGCCATGTTCTGTTTACGTGACAAACCTTACTAATTGGCGATCTAACCCAAAAATAAACAAAAAAACCTGTATTATGGCTTGACCTGGTAAGATAAAAATTGTTTAATTTAGACCGATGCGGCCAGTACCATGGTGGTGGTGGGGGGGGGGGGGAGGGCAGGATCGCCACGCACCAGGTCGTAGCCACGCGTCGATATCTGGTCGAGAGGAATTTAATTAAAAAGCGCCGCGTGGACTCGCCGATCTCCCATGACCGCTACCTCAAGCGCCGCGTCCGTGCTCACGCAGGCAGCACGCCGCCGCGGCGACGTGCCGCTGAACGTTCTCCAGCCGAGCCTCCGCCACGCGTGCAATGCCTTCGCGTGAAATACCGCAGTGCAGATGAAATAGTTCGGGGGGGGGGGGGGGGAGTAAATGCAAACGCGGTAATTGCCGCAACCAGAAGCCGGAGCGGCACTTGCGAGAAACAGTGAGGAGCCTCGGCCCAACAACGTCGGCGCTGTTCCCTTGTTTGTTTCTTCGCGAGGCAGCGGCGTTAACGGAAGAGGACGTCGCGTTTGCTGGAACCGTTGCTTGCAACGCCACGCCGCTGCCAATGTGGGCCTCCGTGTTTACTAAACAACGTTTTAGCAAGACGTGCGTGAATAGTGCGACTTGCAAGGCTTCGGGGCGAAACCGTGACTTTCATAGGGCCCCTAATGATCATTCCGCGGCTGTGCACGCATCACTAATAATAATGCCTCGACAATTGGCTCACGGAAGCCACCGTGTATGGCTGCCAGAAATCACCACGTACAGTTGCACTTCAATATTTTCCTGGAATTTAAATGCAGCAATGCAGGGGTCAGGCGAGGGTTAAGGCGGCGGCGGAGGCGGCAGTAGCGGTGGTGGAGAGCCCCAAGTTGTTGGGATTGCCGCGTGGGAATGTACGTGATTATTATTATTATTATTGTCAGTGCCTCCGGGATCCGTGTAGAATTTGAGAAGAGGTGGACACGGCTGCCCACCCACCCATCGCATCGTATTATGATGACAGATTCTGTAGGAGGCGCAGGGTTTTCATAGCTCCGGTAAATCCAGCAAGCTCCAGGGACTGCAGCGAGAGTTGCAATCGATGCATTATTCACCGTGCGTCTCTCCTTGCACGGTTTACAATGCAGCGATATGTTGCATCGTTACATTTAAAACCAAATCGCGATTCATTTATACATGCATTTATTTGTAAAAAAAGAAAAAGTCAAGATTTTGTATTTTAATATTTAATAATAATTCAAACAATAATCATTAATATTATTTAATACCATACAATTAGTGGCCAAGACTATCAAATCAATACACTTGAGAATCCAGGCTCATTATAAAGAAGGGCCAATTCCCAAAATGTCACCTATTATATATATTTTCCCATTTAAGGCCACGGTGTTATTTACGAATGGGCTGAGGTTTCAGTTTAACCGATGTGTGGCCGACACCCAGATTAAAACCCAGGATTTCAGCAGTTGCCGGCCCTTTCATCTGCGGCATGGCCACGACACGACACGACCCACGAGGCGAGCGGCAACCTCTGCGCCCGGTGTTCGTAACGAGAGCCAGGCAGTGGGAAAGCAGAAAGGGAGATTACATTGACGGGCAGCGAGACTCCAGCCAGGGCACCGAGCTTAAACGCTTCGAGTCAGCACAAAATAATAAGAGGAGAGCTTTCGTACGCAGAACTCGTGCAGGTTCTTCTTCTGTGCGACGGGGGAGTTGGTTGGTAGCGTGTAACAACAATGCTCGTGTCAAGGACAGTGGGCCAAGGCCGTGGGCGGCTTCAGAAGTAGCCTCGTGGCGAATTCCCAAAACGCTGCCGGCGAATGATCGGAGCGTGCGGTGGCGTTACCTTGTGGCCGTTGGTTTGAGATTGGTGACCGCAGTGACGCTGCGGGTAAACTTTCAAATGTCCGTTAGCGCAGGAGAGAGCCGCATCTGCCCCTGCGGTGTTCTGACCTCCGCGATTAAAGTGTCGAGCAATTATTAATTAAAGCGTTGATCTGTTGCGACCGAATTGTGACACCAAAACGCGCAGGATGCAATGATGTTGGAGATGATGATGGTGATGACGGGGTGAAGATGAGGATGTGGCTATGAGGTGAGAAGACGGTGTGTACGAGGGGCTGCCACAGTGCGGTGTTTGGTGATGCGCGGGGTGAAGGAGGCCCTGCGGGCGATGACAGCGAGGGTCAAATGTCACCGCGCGAGCGTCGCAGAATGCCGCAGAGCGCTGGAGAGAACGGTTTTGTTCAACTCTAGGATCCAAAATGCCGGCCAATCGGCATAGGGCGGGGGGGGGGGATCCTTGGGAACCAACGGTTGGAGAGTCGGGGGTTCCAAATAAGAGATCTGAATTTTCGACCCCCACGACTGCGGGCTGCTCGCTCTGCCACGGAGTCGCCCGAGCGGACTGCAGCTAGTAACTGCAATGAGCGCATCACGACACTGACTCCATGGCCCCCCGCAAAAAAGGAGCCAACGGAGTTCGGGAGGCGACGAACCGCTTCGGGGGTCGCGTGAAGGGCGCTGCCGTGGACCCGCAGAAGAATCGCGAGCAAGCCGTCACCTGTTCCGCCGCTCCCAACACGCCCGACAACAAAACCACGGGGTGTGCGCGCTCTGTCTCTCTGTCGCCCGACGGCGTCCGAGCCCGCGTCTTCCCGGTGACTCACACCGCACATCTCGATTCTAATTGTCTGGGAGAAGGACATCGCCCGTCACGACACTTTCATCGCCGCCGCCCAGCTCTCCATCACCCTTCGCCCGCACGCAACGTGCCGGCCGGCGTCGGTGCGCGTTAATTTTTTTGGCCCCCCCACCACCCCACCCACCCCCCACCCGTTCCCTCCCCCCCGCCCACCACAAAAGGCGATGAAGCAATCTCGGCCTCCGCAACCGTCCCAAGCGCGAGCGTGCTCTAAGAAGTCAGAGTGACCCTCTGCGATGGAAGAGAGCCAGCGAGCGGAAGAAGAGTCACCGCTGTGCTTCAACGAGCACGGAGGAGCGCCGCTCGTCTCCACCCAGTTTCTTGACGCCGAAATGGAAACGAAAACCTCTGCGGGATGGGCGCAAAGGGCACGAGCCGGCCTAACACGAGCCCTCCCGTTCGCCACGCTCGCCAGCAACACACCAACTTGACCCCTAATCCTAACATAGCAAACTAGACACGAACATCACCCTATCCATAACCACACGATAGCCAACCAGACGCAAGCTCTCGCAACACTAGCCAAACAGGCTCTATCCGAACCCTAGCCCTGAACACACGATAGCCAACTAAACGTCATCCCCTAACTACACTAGCCAACCAGGCCCGAGCGAACTCTAACCCTGGCCTTAGCCACACTAGCCAAACAGGCCCTCGCCCAAGTGCAGCACCGAGCCACACGAGACAACGATCTCTGAGCAGCATCACACGACTCAAGTGCAGGTGTATTGTACTACAGCAGCTCTGCCAATGAGCACCACAGATGTACAGTGAGGGAAAAACGTATTTGATCCCCTGCTGATTTTGTACGTTTGCCCACTGACAAAGAAATGATCAGTCTATAATTTTAATGGTCGGTTTATTTGAACAGTGAGAGACAGAATAACAACACCAAAATCCAGAAAAACGCATGTAAAAAATGTTATAAATTGATTTGCATTTTAATGAGGGAAATAACTATTTGACCCCCTCTCAATCAGAAAGATTTCTGGCTCCCAGGTGTCTTTTATACAGGTAACGAGCTGAGAATAGGAGCACACTCTTAAAGGGAGTGCTCCTAATCTCAGCTTGTTACCTGTATAAAAGACACTTGTCCACAGAAGCAATCAATCAATCAGATTCCAAACTCTCCACCATTGCCAAGACCAAAGAGCTCTCCAAGGATGTCAGGGACAAGATTGTAGACCTACACAAGGCTGGAATGGGCTACAAGACCAT